CAGAGGGAAAAAATGAAGAATCTAGTGTGAGTGGTGTATCTAAGTCTGGGAAACGACATGTAAAGCCTGTTGATCCAGATCCACATGGGGAGAAGTTGTTGCAGGTTATTTTTTCTATTCCTGATTGCTTCTTACCCCTTCACTTCACGTTTCTAACTGCTGTACGGGCATAGAGTAAATGGCATTATCCTGTCTCTCTTACGCTGTTACATATTTACACAGGTTGAGGATCCGATGTTAGAAGCTACAAAGTACTTGAAGCTGCTTCAGAAGAACTCGCCCGAGTCCTTGGTGACACACTTGCTTTCTTTTGAAGTAAATATGAGAAAGCAGAAGATTTTGCTTGCCTTTCAGGTAAAAATTTGTTCAAATGTTGAGTGAGATGTTTCTCATTGAGTTTGATTTCCTTGAAGCACTCCCATTTTGTTTATTGGTTCAAAGAGTTAAAGCAAAGATTTGTCACAAATATTGATACCGAAGACATCTGTCAGAAACAACGACAAAAGGAATACTTAGAATTTGTTCTTGTTACTTTTTCATCTCTAACAAAGAGCAGTCTGTCAGAAATGGAATTTCATGTTTGTTAGTTAAATCACTTCGCAAGATTTTAGACGTTTGTTATAATTAAACTTTCTTTTGATTTATCACAGCTTTTTTTAAATTAATTTTTTTTCTTAACTATAGGCCTTGAAGCAGCTTCTGAGGTTGAATGCTGACCACCCAGATTCGCATCGCTCCTTGGTATTTTTACTTGTTTAGTGTCTGCTTGCTTGTTTGTGTGTTGGTGTGTATGTTGTGATCTTTCTGTAGGCCCTATTGTAAGATTTCATGTATTGCAGATTAAATTCTTCCATAAAGTTGGCTCCATGCCTGCTCCTGTGACTGATAATGAGAAACTCATTTGGAGTGTGTTGGAAGCAGAGCGCCCATTGATCAGGTTCTCTTTTAATGTGCACTTTGCTCTCTCTCTCTCTCTCTCTCTCTCATGCTCCTGTATGTGTTTGACAATTTTAATTTCACTTACCAAACATCTTTTTTTTTTTTTTTTTTTAATCTAGTCAATTGCGAGGGAAGTCTTTAATTGAGGCAAACAAGAATTTCTTGGAGAAACATAAAGGTGACTTTTAGGATTATCACTGTAAAAGAAAAATGCATAAGCATTCGTTTTCCTTACGTCTTTTGTTGTTTTTGTGTTTTGTTTTTTCTGCAGATTCCTTGATGCATAGAGCTGCAGTTGCAGAAATGCTATATACTATGGAACCAGAAAAGAAATCTGAGGCTATTAAATTAATTGAAGAGTCAACCAACAATATGGTGCCCAAGTAATACCCTGTTCCATTTCCTACTTCTAAATTGCCTTCAAAAATTGTAAATTGATTTACATGTCTGTAAGAGTGATTGTTCTTAAATGTCTGCATGCATCAAATCAGAAGTGGAGCACTTGGACCTGTCAAAGAGTGGAAACTCAAAGATTGCATTACTGTCAACAAACTCCTTGAAACAATAATTGTTGACCTTGCGGCTGCTCTGAGTAAGTAAAGTAGCTAGAGTCTATTTCTGTTCTTTTTATATTCAACAGAATGTTAAAAGCAGTTGTACATTGATGTTTGTTGGCATATTTTAGCCTATTTATGTTTGTATATTAAAAGCTGGGTTAGCTCTCACAAATTTGGAGATAACAGTCTAGATGGCGTCTTCGATTGCTCCAGTTCATGTCGCTCTAGTTTCCATTTGCTATTGACAAAATATGCTACCTGTGCTTGTTTTCTTTGTGATTTTCTCCTTCTGGGTAGTAATCCATGTTGCAAAGATGACACTTTTTTTGTTTGGGGAAAATAGGTCCTTAGGGAACTGTGAAGACTGCTGGGATTTTGTATAGCTTTTTACATGTCTTCATCCAATTTAAGAGTATGCGAATCAGTAATATGTTCATCTGGTTCAAGATATGGGCTCCTATAATTCTTTAATTCTTTTGTAGGATGGAAAGAGCGATGTGCTGAGTACTTCCCTTACTCTACGTACTTTGAAGGGAATCGTAGCTCTGCAGTACCCAACTCAGCATACAACCAAAATGGAAGTGCGAACCACTCAGAAGGTGGGCAAAGTGCAGATTCAATCGCAGTAAATGGGAAATTAGAGGCATTTAAAGACCTCACCGTGCAACCATAAAGTTGAAGAGAAACATTAGCCAAGGAAACTTGCAAGTTCACCATGTTTGATTGGTGAATCCCAAAACTAAGCTGCAGGTCAGAAACATATGCCCAGCAAATAGGTTGCAGCTCGTTGAAGAGAACTATGCTGGGGTTTTGTGCACAAAGTTATGGTTTCCTTTCAAGATCAGGTTTACTTTTCCCACCAGTTCTGCCTTTCCAATTGTGAATCTGAAAATGTGTATAATCTACTTTTCCATTGTGACTCTAGGGTTTATTTTCGTTCTTTTTGAATTTGCTCACATTTTTTGTGAGGATCTTAGGTGAGGTTACGTATTGGGGATGTGCGCCTAAATTTGATCTTAATAGGTTGAGGGAGGAGCTACAGAATATCATTTTTTTTGGCACTGGTTTTAGATCCGGTCAGAATAGATACCGGAGCATGTTGTACTTTTCCCATTTCATTGACTTCATTATTATGTATAAACCCTAAATTATTTGAAATTTTTTGCCATGGATTCCAGCGTTGGTGGTTTGTGACATACAGGCCACGAGACTCAACAAATTTTATTTTATTTTTTCAATTAAGCTCCTTGGAATCATTGCCTTTTGAATTCCTTTACTTTTTTCCGAGCTCTTCTTTCCATTTCAAATTCTTGTTGGAACTTACACTAGTTTAATCGTTATAAGCTGAACTCAAATTTAAACTCGGATCTTACCGGGTTGCCTGCAAGCATGTCTTTTTGGTATCACGTTTGGGTTAACAATATTTTTGTCTCTTTTGGGTCCAAATTGTGGCTAATAATTCAGGCCAAGGTGAGAAGAGAACTCCGGTTGTATTTTATCATGTCTGGAACAATGTTGGTATCTGGCCAATAGCAGGGAGAGAATTTTAGCTATCGCTGGTTGTGTATGCCCTTGTGCATAGAGGTGGGCATCTCATCCGAATTATCCGCGTACCGACCGTGCTGTATAAACGGTTTGGTTTGGTTTGGTTAAATAATTATTTTTTAATTTTAATTATTCCGATCCGATCTCTATCGAAATATTTACTTTGGTTAACGAAAACAAAATTCCTAACTCGATGGAAACTTGTACCGATCCGATATTTATATTTATTTTATTATTTAAATACAAAAGAAATCAAAGTTAAATACAATTAGCATTTTGTATCACTCATTTATCGTCATTATATCATTGATTTATCACCATTTTATCACTGTTTTACCACCACTGTATCACTTCTTTATTACCATTGTATCACTTACTCAGGTATTGTAGCAATGTTTGGTCAGAGAGGAATTTATGAATTTCCTAGGTTTTCTAGTTTTGACATTTGTCCCGTTTTTGACCTGTAACTTTCCAACTGTTGATCCAAATTTTATGTTCTTTATATGGTTGGATTCAACATGAAAAACTAAAGAACTCATCACGGAACAAATGTCAAAATCATTTACATAAATATAGAGAATTCAATAAAAAGAACACTCAAAGGTTCAAACAACAAACACAAGTGGCTCCTAGTACATCTTGAGTACATATTGAATGATATAGTGACTAAGTTATTTGATTTCATACTTGGATGAATTAGACTATTGGATTTTTATATTTTACAAGGATAATTTGGTGTATTTGTTCAAGAACTTATGTTATGTGAAGTATTATAAATTGTATTTTTATCAGTATGTTTATATTACGGTACTACCGGCATACTGACCAATCCGAACTGAATATGGTTAACCGATTCGAAGTCTACCGAAATCTTTGGTTTGGTTAACAGAAGAGAAAATGGTCTGCCGAAGTTTTTGGTTTGGTTAATGAAATAGTCTTCTACCGTTCCGAACCGATCCGCGCCCAGGCCTACTTGTGCATATAGCACACTTTGTCGATACAGGGGATATACAACCGGTTACAAGGCGGATTCTCACATTGGTGAGACACTGCTGCGGTTGGAGATGAGTGTTGTAGACACAAATTGGATGTACAAGGAGGCAGATGGTTTGAAATGGTGATACACTGATGCTCGCTTCAACCTCAATTTTTTTTCCTTTTTCATTTGACGCAAGCACGATATTGGGGAATGAATTATTCAAACACAGGACCTTGAGTGCATGAGTAGATTCTCTTAACCACTTGAGTTACAAGCCCATTATTAAGGGGGGATTATGCATTGATTTTTCAACAATTTGTCAACGCACTCCACATGAAAGCATGTAAATATGGTAGCTCTCTTAGCTCAACCTCATCTGCAGACTTGGCCAATCAAATTCAAGAAGTCTGCATCATATTGAAGGAGAAAAGCACATCAAATATTGAATGACGACAATTGTGGATACTTAAATTATTGTAATTCTTCTGACCGAAAAATTTACTGTGATTCTTAATTTCCTCTGTTTGTCCTAGTTTACGCATATAGAAAATCCTTCATGTCGGATGTTTAAACATGGACCTTACCATGTTTGCAAGCATGTCTTTGGGAATGCCATTTGTTCGGTGTCTTTAGGTTAGCAGTTCTGGTCATTAAAAAAATAATAATAATAAATAAAACCAAAAAACTCCTAAATTGAATCATATTTTGAACGGTCTGGGAATTGGTCTACATATGATTCCTTCAAGAATCAATCGACCATCATTCTGAATCTTGTGGTCACAAAAGTAGTGGATATTTCAAATTTCTAAACCTCAGTATGCATCAGTTTTAACTTTTAAATAAGAAAGCCAAAAACTAATGTATCAGGCATTTGAACATCCTGTCATGTTCAAATGTTGGCAGCTCAATATCAGAACCCGAACGGAATGGAATTTAGATAAAATTGCTTCTCAGGTGACAAGGTTTACTTGCAGGGAGTGTAGTTTGGACATGAGACATGTTTATCATTTTTTCCTTCCATAGCAAGGGCTCCATGAATGTGCCCACCAAACAAAAAGAGTACAGGACAAGGCACAAAACTCACCTGTATATTTGAATAGTACATATGAAATTTACAGATATACTGAACCGCGTGTCCCCATGACAGAACCTGAGACAAGAGACTCGTCAAAGGCTCTTCTGTGAAACAATATGGAATTTTTTGCACTTCGACGAACACCCAATTGGGGTTTGACCATTTGAGAATTCAGAATAAAGCCTGTGCTTTCGTATACAATGTCATCAGCTGAGCCCATCTCCCTCACTCTACTGCTGGTCCGAGTCTCTGGCCAATGGTGAGGCACTGCTGCTCTCTCCAACCTCACTTTTACAGAGGGGACACGATGCATTGATTTTCAACCATTTGTCAACGCACTCCACGTGAAAGACATGTAAACATGGTAGCTCTCTTAGCTCATCCTCATCTGCATACTTTGCCAAGCAAATACAACAAACCTGCACCATATTGAAGGAGAAAAGCACATCAATCAAATGAAAATTTTGGAAATTGTCTCATTGTTACTTCTACTTTGCAACAATTTAGTAATATATAAACAGGCACCAGGTAGTTGATTCAGAAAAGAAAGTTACAGATAACCAATATTTTAATAATGAGGAAGGAAAGTTATATAAACAGGCACCAGGTAGTTTAGATAATTTATTACTCTACATAAACCCTTTGTTTCCCATAATAAACGTACTGTTATAGATAACCAATTAATCCACAATATAACTTAATAGTTTTAGCTAACCCAAAAAATTATCACAGCCAATTAACCAGTATCAACATCGACTGTGTTTTATATTTTCATTAATATTATGTTCAGATTATAGCAATTCAAATTCTATTTGTTCCAATACTAGATGCATCCAGCTAGCCTAATAAGTAATGAGGCAAGTTAATCAAATATTGAGGGATGTCATGGCAGCGTCTTCCTTAAAGCACTGGAAAAATGAAGTGATATCTGGATACAGATACAGAAACTGTTATGAGAAAGGGATGTTCTCAACATGAATACTTCATATTCAACATAAAAGCAACTTCTACCAGCAAGCTATGCAGAAGAAGCATGAATTTTAATTTTCTGTTAGGTAGAGTTTCCTGAACTTGATGGTGAAAGTTGGTGTGAGAATCCAAATTTGGTTAAGTGTTGCTTAATTTCAAGACCAGGAACTCAGCAGGCACAGAACCTACTCACCGCATCTTCTCCTGATATTGCGCGCTCCTTTTCTGTCCCTGCAGCCAAGAGCCCACCTTCACTATCCAGGTTGCACTCGTGATCATTATTGGTCTCATTTTCCTTTAACTTGAATTTGTAGGTTGGGAGAGCATTAATTGATTCCGCAGTGGCTCCTCTAGTCTGAGAAAAATCCCCTCGAAATCCCAGGACAGAGATGATGCAGGGCAGGCAGCAACAAATTGTTGCACATAGTATGAATGGCATGGCATATCCGATACAACTAAAGGTTAGGAACACTATGCATAACCTATGAGAAACCCAGAAAATGTTAGATGACTCAATAACCAGTATAAATTAAACATTATGTCATTAAGAGGTACCTGTACAATTTTGGAGCATCAGAGGGAGAAGAGTGACCTCCAAAAATCCACACATTGCCTACCACAAACCAGACTGCAAAAAAGCAATCTAAGGCCATCTTGAAATGATCCACTAACCCATTAAGTCTGCAAAATAGAACCAGCTTCTTCACTTCACTACACCATCTATAAATCATGT